TATTTGTTTAATATTTATAAAAAAAAGGCATGCAGTTTACCTAATAAAAAAAGCCACTGAAGGCCTGTATACACATAGCTATTTATATAAAAAAGAGAGATATAGATAGGTTCAACCCCGAGGACAGAGCAGTAATTCCATACAACCCGTTATTAAACCGACTCTCGTACCATATAAACCGACCGATACGCAACAGTGTTTAGGTAATATTTCTTACGTGAAATAAATGGATATATTTCTTAAATGTTTTGCTGGGACAGCCGTGGTAGCTCAGTGGTTAACGCTCGCTGTAAATATAACAGAACGCGAGTAACCCGGGTTCGATCCCCGCCGGCACCAATGAAATTGTTAATTGCAATTTTAAGTGCTGATTTACCACGTGCTCGGCGGTAAAGGAAAACATCGTGAGGAAACCTGCATGTCTGAGGATTAAGAAAAAAAAATATTTCGAAGACATGTGAAGTTCGTCAACACGCATTTGGGCAGCGCGGCGGACACTTCCTTGCCCTAAACCCTCTCAGAAATGAGGGGAGGCCTGAGCCCAGCAGTGGGACGTATATAGGCTGTAACTTTACTTTTTTAACATTTTTTTTTGCTGGGACGAAGTCTAAAGTGAAGGGAACTCATAACATCGCTCGCATATATCTAGTATTACTACTTTTTTGTTTTATAGAAGTAAGGTGCGAGTACACTATATGATTTCATGAGTATCATAAAAGACGACAAAGTGTTACTATAACTGGAGATGGGCAGCAACATATTCCTAACAATAGCTCCAAATAATAAAAATCCTGTAGTTATCTGATATATAGGAAATAGGAGATATAGGAAATATGTCTCCTATGAGGCAATCTTTAGGGGACTCCATAATCAGCAGTGGACTTTGATAAGGTATGGTAATAATGGCGATGAACAGTGACAAGCAAGCGCACAGTTCACCCGACGGTAGCTACATGTATTCTTGATTTAGAATCGAAATGTACATGCGTTGTTAACCTTGAGAACTAAGATGAAATGCCAGATTACCAATGCTATGCTACATGTATGTAGATATATTGATGTGTTTATGATTAATGTGGATTTTAAATGCTAGTAGTATTACGGGTAATATTAATTATAGTTCTTCCTGTTACTTCTAGGAATATTTTTTTATTTATAATTTACGCTTTTATTTGTGTTTCGTATGGGAAATGTAGAGAGCCGCTGACACTTTTTACTGAATACGAAGCATACTATCTTAGTATTCAGGGGTGACAACGCATTTGCATTTGATTCTTAATAGAGGATAGATGTAGATATCTATGGGCCTCAGCATCCACTTACCATCAGGCTCACTGTGTGTTCTTTTGTCACACTTAGCATAGCTTGTATCGCGGGCCTTGAGCGCGGGGACCGAATCCAGAAATTCCGTAACGAAAAAACCTCAAGCTCCCCACTCCGACTGGCACGGAGGTGTGGCGTTGAAAGCCGTGCATCGTCTAACGTCGTTTTAGTTCGGCAGACTTCGGTACTCGGCAGACTTCGGCACGGTGTTTGTGTGCGTGTACACTAGCTGCTAACTCAATGATAAAAATTCCTGAATAACCTACATGTATTGTAAGATATTAAAAATATTTTAAACAATATTAACTTCTCATTTATTCAATAAGAGAAAAAAAATTGTTTTCTTATCGGTCACCACGCTCAAAAAGTGTAACTTGATTTAATATCAAAGACTTAACTGCATAAATAAAATAAATAAATAATTATAATTGCATAAGTTGATAAAAAATGCTATGCAATAGCTTTACCGCGGCAGGCACCGAGTGCTACACGTATTTTTTTTTAATTTTAAGCTTCTCTTTGTTTCACAATTACTTGAATGGGATTGACTCCTTGTTTTGACGAAAATTCCTATGAAAAAGGATAAAAACACATTTGAAATTTTAACGATTTATATTTCTTAACTTGTAATTTACACTTTAAATTACCACAAATAAATGACATATATATTAGCACAAATAAACTTCAAATTACCTTGTTGATACAACAAAGAAATAATTTTGTTACACGAATGAAATATATGTCGACTACAATTCTTGTTTGATTTATGAACTTCGTATAAAACATATTCTCTAATGCGTTCCAGAAAAATCTTGATAAATATACACTTGGGGCCCCTTTTCATTTATAATCGCTCGTTCAATGGTTTTCTTTGAATTCGTAGATTTTCGATTGTAATGACGTCACGTTTGTGGAAACAAAAATGTAGTTATAATATTTGAGCTAACCTTTCGATTTTCGGTACCGAAATAAATTATGATTGTAAAATATTCATTGAAAAGTCAATTTTAACTATAAATTTTCAAATATTCTTTAATTATACTGTCATCACCTTATGATCCTTTATCATCATCATAGTCAATATGGCCCAACAAAATCCTACAGCTAAACATAGATTTTTTACCATAAATTTCATAAAACACCTGACCTGATCTACCCGCATTCGTCGATTTCGTGAGTGTCTTACCAGGTTGACAATCCATCTAGTAGGGTCAGAACTGGACTCAGCTTATCAAAGCAAAGGTATCACCCGAATACCTTCTTCATCAGTTAACGGTATATCGATATAATTATCTTCAAATAAAATGAATGGTCTATTGCTACTCCAGTTAACTGTTTCGTTACAGCATAAAATTGATTACTGAACATAGACCTCCTCCATAGATTGCCTCATAGGGGGGATATTTGCCACAGTTGCCACACTGGGCAAGCGGGTTGGCAACCGTAATTTTTTTTATTTTTAGCCGTTATTAGGAAGACACTGCTGCCCATCTCCTGATTTGTTTATTTGCTTCTGTCGCCTCTTACTATATCCCACGGGATGTTATGGAGTAGGTATTCCTACTATCCTGTAGTGGATATTCCTACACCGCCACTTTTTTATACGTGGTAGAGCCATGCTGCAGTTATATTAGTAGTATGGTTGTAGCACGAATGGGTCGGCTCGACAGGGGAAGGACCACGCTCTCACAGAATACCAGCGTCAAATAGTAGTTTAATGCTGCTGTGTTTCGTGTTTCGATGTCTATGGACCGCAGCAACCACTTACCATCAGGTGGACTTTGTGCTCGTTTGTCAACCTTTCCTATATAAAAAACACGGTTACATAACTTTATATCTAACTCAATAACTATCTTTCGTAAATGTATCCTAAAATAAGTTCTTTGTTTACAAAAATTCTCGAAAAAAATTACATAATAAACTGCCAGTGCCAAAATGGTAAGCATTGGCTCTGTGATTGCTTAATTTATTCATTTCACTTTAACTGCGACGAGCGAAAACGATAAAAATAAAATGAAGAATAGTTTTTTTATAATTGAACATAAGCATTATTAAAAATCATTTTTTAACAACTGCATAATGTTCTCACTAACTAGTATAGAAGGCCTATATGTTTAACTAAGCGTTACATTAAAGTCTTCAAGTCAAGAAAACTGTATTGGGGTAAAGGAAGTGTTCATCGACTTTCTCATTACTCCATTTCGTTCTAGTTTTTATTAGAAGTTGCGGTGACAAATGAGCACACAGTCCGCATGATGGTAAGTGGACACCGTGGTCAAAAGCCATCTACATCTATGATTCTATCATCGATTAAGAATTAAAATGTAGAATGTGTTGTGACCTCTAAGGACGAACATGTACCGCCTTGTAATCGTTACAATACGAAATACAATACAAGTGGTATTCTCTGATAGACCTTTCGTGGTCGAGCCGACTCATTTCTACCGCCAAAGCTGCTGTTCCATATGTTGACTGCTTAGGTTTGATAAAGAAGACCAGAATAAGATAGAAGAAGGTATAATCGTTATTGCCTAAACCAAATTATTAACTACCATTGTACATAAGCATTACGGCTATAATTTTTTTGCTTTATTAAGAATTATCATTATAATGTTGCAAAATTATACTTTCGGTACAATCTCAATAATGGTCTAACGACGCCAATATTATTTCGTCGCAAAATTTTACTTAACGACATCGCCTCACCGAAGGACCGTTTTAATAAGGTCTTAATGTTTAACGATCGCAATATTAAGAGATTTATAATATTAACCGTGTAGTAGCGGTTTAAGAATATCCACTACCCTGTATCGCTTCGTGGGTAACGTAAGAGGAGACAGCGAGAAGCAGACCAGGAGATGTGCAGCTTGTCTTGCTGATCATAACCAGAAAATAAAAACTGCCGCTGCCAACTCGTCTGTCGACTGTGCCAACTATGGCAAATTTACCCTTTATGTGGAGGCCTAAGTTCAACACTGGACGCAGTTTATTTTTTATTATTTTAGTTTTATTTAGAAAGATTCTGATGCCCCTTTTCTGGTGTTCGTCTCTGCTGCCTCTGACACCCACGGTACTGTATGAGATAGTTAATTTCTTTCTTTGGAATCAGTGCGATTTACCATCTTTGGCTAAATCACCACGTACCATTAGGTAGGATAATAATCGAACACTGGCATAAAAATTTCTAAAAATATTTTATATATCTCTTCATTTATATAATAGATAACGGTAAATATTCGGTTATTCATCTTTATTGCCGCTACTCATTAGAGCTCTTTGTCTGCCGTTGTATTCAATTAAGCTTTTCATATTTTAATACCTGTATTTCGCATCGCTTCTCCATTGCTTACAAACCTTTTATAACTTGGCGTTAATCATTGTATCTTGGCATCCAATGAACCTCATTAATAAAAGTAAAGAGCGCAGAGCTTTTATCTACCCTAAAATTCCTTCTTTTAGAATATATTTGTATTTTGTACATTCATTGTAATAAGGCTGCTAATTAATTTATACTAAAAGCCCTGGCTAACTTTTAAATATAAGTCTCAGATTATCGTTGTTTGAGATTTATTATGAAAAGTCACTTACCTACCTGCGGTACCTTTAGCGTAAGAGAATTTTAAAACCTTGCCTTTGCCTTGCGGAAGCATAAGAAGGATCAGGGAAATTTGGATAATATGGCGAGTAAGTCATTTAAAACGATAATTACGAATTTCCACTATAGCGAAAATTTCGAAGGATTTTTTTAAAGAAAAAAAAATAGCGGCAGCTATAACAAAGCTCGTTCGCTCGCTCTCGTCATTCATTCTAAACTATAGAACGAGGATATTCCGTGGTGTAATATCAAAGATATGGGAATACTATTACAATACAATTTAAGTTCAATGACACTCCACTCCACGAACTAAAGAAAAAAATTTAAAAAAATGGATGACTTTTTCCTTCATCCTCATGAACCCCTAGAAGTTCACTACTAGATTTGAGTGTTACCCGTTATAGGATGGGTTTTGCCATAATCACCATGCTTGACAAACAGATTGGCTAACGCAGTACTAGACATTAGAAACCTGGTTAAAAAAATAAAATATGCTAAGAGTAGTTCATCTTTTCCTCTTAATAAGTAAGCAAAACCGTACCAACTACCTCTTCAATGTAATATGTGACCTTTTGAACTTGCTTGCTTATATGAGTAACATTATACCTACATAAAGAATTTCATAGTAAACGACCAATCCTTTATATTGATTTACGACAGCAACTATTCCTATTCATTTTGTTGAATAAATATTGCATAGAGGCGAAAAGGTGCTATAAAACGTTGATTAAATTTGTTCTCTGACACCATGACACGTACACATAACAAGTATGTTATGAAAAAAATTGCTTTGAAATAAAATGTTCCTTTCTAAATAAAAGCCTTTCTTTATTTTCTATATTTTTGTAGAAGTAAATATGTCAAACCAGCACAGAATCTGATGATAGCAAGTAAATGCTGTGGCCCATAAACACCTTCATTTATCCTCGATTAAGATTAAGAAGCAGATGTGTCGTCACCACTGACGACTAAGGTGGAATGCATCGTTACCAGAAAAAGGATCCGGCTTCGTCATTTACCATACGATACTCAACGAAATTTTTAATAAAATTACATAACATTGGGTGACAAACGAGCACACGGTCCACCTGATGGTTAGCGGATGCTGCGGCCCATAGACATCTTTTTTTATAACATTGGGTGACAAACGAGCACATAGTCCACCCGATGGTAAGTGGATACTATGGCCCATTAAAATCCATTCTTTATTTGACGTGGTCCTTGACCGCTGGCCGTATGAGGACGCTCAAAGTCGCTCAGCGAGCTATAGAGAGGGCTATGCTCGGAGTTTCTCTGCGTGATAGACTCAGAAATGAGGATATCCGCAGTAGAACCAAAGTGACCGACATAGCCGAACGGATTAGTAAGCTGAAGTGGCAATGGGCCCGCCATATAGCTCGAAAAACCGATAACCGATGGGGAAGAAAGGTTCTCGAGTGGCAGCCTCGTACCGGTAGGCGTAGTGTAGGGCGACCCCCCCCTAGATGGAGTGACGACCTGGTAAGTGTGGCGTTACTTGGGGGAGGCCTATGTTCAGCAGTGGACTTGTGAAGGGCTGTAATGATGATGATGATGATGATGGCCCATTGATATTCACATTTAACCTCGATTAAGAATCAAAATGCAGATGCGTTGTCACCCCTGAGAGCTAGATAGAATGCCTCGATTCTATTAAAAAGGATCTCCGGTTCTCTACACTCACCATACGAAACACCTTACCTACTATCACTTAAGAGTATCACAATGGACTGCGATTTAGTTTGTCACGCCCAAAACCCAAAAGCCATAACATTGTTTCATTAATGCAGAATAAAAAAACACTTTGATATCTTGAAGAATATAAGTAAATATTTTATAAAAATACAGCTTTTGAGTTTACGATTTTAAATCACAAGGAATTACTGAAGGCTCGCGCTTACACAGTCAAGTTGTATAGCGACGCTGATTATGAGGCTATAAATATAAATCTTTGGCAAATATATTGGGAATCTAATTTCAGTGACAGTAATATTTATGTCTCTATATCCAGTTTTTATAAAATTTTAAATAATATATGTAATAGAACAACACGTATCTACTAAAACCATAAAATTTAACATTATAAGTACCCGATATGGTATAATTAGATCATTGATGAAAACTATAAGTGAAAAATTAAAATTTAATCCGAAGTGGAAGGTGTTTGAACAAGATAGTGACAGAGACAAAAATTAATGGAGGACGGTTGTTTTAACAAATTTATCAACAGTGCTGATATAGGATTAGTATTGTTGCGTGAATAAGTCAACGTCATACACTAGCGCCATCTAGTGTCAGGAACGAGAGCGAGGGGAGCTTTGCAGAAAATGACATCACAAATCTTTCAACCGACAGCGCCATCCGAAGAACTAAGTTTCTAGAAAATCTACACTCGAACACTCGTCGCTTTGCGCGCATTTACTTGAATATTCTGGATGCTTCATCGCTAATTTGTATATATAGGCGCTGCAAGATGCGATCGGGGCAGTATTGGATTTGGCGAGACAAGCGAAGCTTCGGAGCGGAATAAAGTGAATTAGTGTGTTTAATTATTAGTGTTTTAAGTTTTAATTTGTGTAAAGTAAATTAAAGTGTTAATTTAGGTAATTTTATCGGCAATTTTTATTGTCACGAACCTCAAGCTCTTAACAATTGGTGTCAGAAGTGGGATAAAATCATGCCGATTTTACCTAAAGAGAGTAAGGAAGAGGTATCCGTGAGGATGCTCAGGACGGACCACCTCAGCAACGAATGGAAGGACAGCTTACAACATGCAGAGCAGGAAGATCCGGACATCAAGCCGATTCTGGAATGGATAAAGGCCAGTGCTCCCAAGCCTAAGTGGAGCGACGTCTCAGCAATGAGTTCGACCACTAAAAGCTATTGGGCCCAGTGGGACAGCTTGCTGCTTCAGGATGGAGTTCTGTGCCGTAAATGGGAAAATCTTAAGGGAGACAGCTGTCATTTGCAAATGGTTGTCCCTAAAGCTAAAGTACCGGATTTTCTACAGCTGTACCATAATGATTGTTCCGGAGGCCATCTGGGAGTTAAACGAACTCTACTGAAGATCCGAGAACGGTTTTATTGGGTCCACTGTCGAAACGATGTCGAGGACTGGTGTCGCAAATGTACAAGTTGTGCGGCTGTAAAGGGACCTCAGACTCGTAGTAGAGGTGCATTGAAGTTGTACAATGTTGGTGCACCATGGGAGAGAATAGCCATTGACGTGGCGGGGCCGTTTCCGGAGAGTGAAAGCGGTAACAAGTATTTCATGGTTGTGATGGATTACTTCACAAAGTGGCCAGAAGTTTTCGCCATTCCAAATCAAGAAGCTTCAACAGTTGCAGATAAACTAGTTCATGAAGTCTTCTGTCGTTTTGGAGTACCTTTAGAGATTCACAGCGATCAAGGAAGGAATTTTGAGTCTCAAATATTCCAGGAAACTTGCCGAGTTATGTGTACTCATAAAACAAGAACGACTTCTTATCACCCGCAATCTGATGGAATGGTGGAACGATTTAATCAGACATTGAAGAGGTACCTAGCAAAAGTTGTAGATAATCGGCAACGAGATTGGGACAAGCACATACAACCGTTTTTGTTGTCATATCGAAGTTCTGTTCACGAAAGTACAGCAGTGACACCAGCTTTCGCAAACTTTGGAAGAGAATTACGGCTGCCGGCAGACCTGATCAACGGGATACCACCTGACGCCCCACGCAGTATAACCGATTTTGCAAATGACTTGCGGAATAAAATGAATGACATTTATGAGCACGTCAGACAATCGGGCCAGCAAATGTCTGAGAAAATGAAAACCCGGTACGACCGCAAAATGAACAATAAAGGGTTCAACGAAGGTTCATTAGTGTGGTTGCACAATCCAGTCCGCAGCAAAGGGAAATCTCCTAAGCTTCAAGCTAAATGGGACGGCCCGTACCGGATTGTAACCAGGATCAACGATGTGACCTACCGGATACAGAAAGGCGCAAGAGGGACTCCTAAGATCGTCCATGTGGATCGCTTTTTTTTTTTTGCGCCCGAAGCAAATATGGGCAACCCTCCGGAAAGCGGGGGAGGGAGGTTGGGAATGCTCATAGCATACCACGCAGCCGGCTGCGTGGTTATGTGGTGACTTTTACCCACTAAACCCAACCTTTTAGGAATTGGCTTAACGATCTGACGAGGGCGCTTGGCGCATTATTATGGGACCGATAATACTCGGGACGAGCATGTCTTAGGAGGGGGCAGTGTTGCGTGAATAAGTCAACGTCATACACTAGCGCCATCGGAATAAAGTGAATTAGTGTGTTTAATTATTAGTGTTTTAAGTTTTAATTTGTGTAAAGTAAATTAAAGTGTTAATTTAGGTAATTTTATCGGCAATTTTTATTGTCACGAACCTCAAGCTCGTAACAGTATTTAATAGTAAATTATTTTGGTCTTTCGTAAAATCAAAACAAAAATGTAAATCTTCCAGACATTATGTTACTGATGATTGCCTTCAGATCTGGGGAATATATGTGATTTCTTTAATACTCATTTTAGCTCAGCTTTTGATGTTAATTGTCCAATAGGTACTCGTATTACCCGTGTGGTCTCGTATAAATTTAATAAAGATCTGACCAGTAGTTTTTGAGTTATCCTTAAAAATACGTATTTAATTGGTTTCTAATAGTACATTGGGGTAATTATTTCATTTGGTGTAAATCGGATGTCCGGGTGAATTTCCCCCCTTAAAACTAAGTTGGATTTATAACGTGCCATACTATTATATATAGTACTGAATGTACAGTACAAGGAGTACTCATACATTTTGGGTATTTTATAATTAATCTTGTATTTTTTTGTCATTAAAGACTCAAAACGTCACTACCATGTGTGTCCCATATAACATTTTCGTCGTTATTTCAGCAAAAATGTCATATTAAAAGTATGTTTATAAGCCAACGTCACTATTTATGTAAAGCTTAATAATCATTACTAATATCTGGGATTTAACAAATGAAATCAAATTGAAAGTGATAGAAAAACAACATCGTAAATATTGTCCCAAGCGAAAACAGTCATTCCCATGTCAGTTCATGTCACGACGTGTAGTACATCACTCAACAGCTGTATAAAATTTCTGCAACTGCCCCGCGCTCCTCCCAGTCACCACGCAGCCGTCAACGAAAACGCACGTCGCACCTCCAGACTGATTTCAAAAAAAGTAAAGAAAAAGAGTGTTACCGTGGTTTTTGTCAGAAAAAATTGTCTTTATTGTGGGTCTACTTCCTCGGTAAGTACACAAAATATTAGAATAGGTTTTATTTTCCCTAATTATTTAACCATTTTGTTATAACGTAAGCAATAGAACATATTCCGGAACATTAACCCTACAATGTTATGCGAATAATATTTGATTTTGTCATTACCGTGTTTGTCATTAACATGTATTACCGTGATTGTTTTAAGCCACGGTAATGACAACGATAACATGATAATGACTTACATATAATACATAAGTAAATATTAACAGTTTTTAGCTAGTACCGATTGTAATTGGTATATAAATAAGCATTGTGAATTATATACGTCAATTTTGCTTGTTCTAGACAAAAAAGTAAACATGCCACGACGTAAAAAGCCAGTAAATAGAGAAGATATGTTAAGAAAAAAACGATTAGCGGAACAAAAAAGGCGCAACAAAATAAAGTCTAACCCTGAGCTATACAAAGAATACTTAGAAAAAGAAAAAGCTCGCTATATCAAAAGAAAGGATACTAAAAAAATTGTACCAATTAAAGAATTAAAGCCAAGGGAACAGAGGGCACAGAGAAAAAAATGGAAGATAAACCAACAGAATTTAAGAAGAAAGAAAAAAGAACTTAAAATGTTACAAGAAAAAGATACGCCACCTGAATCAGATTCTGAAGATTTCCTGGAACGAAATTTTGAATTACAACAAGAACATCAAGATGCAATAAAAAAAGCTTCTACTTTTGCAAGATTAGTCACCGAGAATTATGCGTCACATGATCCATGGATTAATCCCAGACCTGGACCGTCTGATCAATCTGAGTTAATCATAGGCAATAAAACACCAGACAATCGGAGACCAGTTACAAAAAATTGCACATCAAATTCTGCTCAACCTATTTGTCACACTCCTAAGGATAGTCCCTCTTCAGCTACGCGTAGAGTTCGCTATAGAATGCTCAAAAAATGCAAATACTATCAAAAACGTTTGTCGGAGCTAGAAAAGCAAAATGCAGCGTTTCGCAAACGCGTTTTTCGCATGAGACAAACTATTACTAAGCTAAAGTCTTGTAACAGCCCAGGAACAAAAGCCGGAATGATAATGGCCGACCCTACCAAAAAAGAAGATGTTAAAAAAGCCATAATATTTGGCGATATTTTAAAAAGTAACATCAATCTAGATTACGAGAACCAGAAAAAGGCTGAAAAACAAAAGCTCAAAGAGAATATAGAACCAGTACGTGAGAAACTGAAAAATTATAATTTACTTAAGGAGTTGCCTAAAATAACAAGGAAATCTAATAGAAAAGAAAAAGAAAGCACGAAAAAAGAGCAAATTGATAGTGACATTCGATGTTTTTATGAAGATGATGATAATTCTAGAATGACGTCTGGTAAAAAAGACTGCATCACTTTAAACAAACAAAAGAAGCAGAAGAGGTTTCTTAAAGATAGTCTTTTGAACCTGCACAAAAAGTTTTTGAAGAAATACGATTATAACGTCAGTTACTCATATTTTTGCAAAGCAAAGCCATTTTGGGTTATAGTTCCTCCAGAAAAGGATAGAGAGACCTGCATGTGTAAAATACACGAAAATGTAGATTTGCTGGCGAAAGCTCTTCACAAAAACGAAATAATCGTCGAAAAATCTGCAAAAGAAATCTTGTCTTCTAGTGTATGCAACATCTACAATATAAAATGTCTGGAAAATAAATGCAGAGTTTGCATTAATAAAGGCCTGACAGTCAGGGAGTTTAAAAATTCTATTGAGATTGAATATCAAATGTGGGGCTCGGGTTTGAAGGAAGTACGAACAAAGAATGGATTAAGAATAATAAAGATTACTGAGAAAAAACAGTTTAGAGGAAAACCAAGAGAAGTATTACTTCTTTTGTTAAAGCTTCTAATAAAGTTTTACGTTCACAATGCTAATATTGTGAACCAGTACGAATGCACAACGAAATTGAAGAGGGAACCTGAAAGCAACAGTGTTGTGATCCATATGGATTTTAGTGAAAATTATTCGATCAAATACAACACCGAGATTCAGTCTCTGCATTTTGGCGGAAGCCGCATGCAGATAAGTCTTCACACTAGCGTTATATACCTCAGTAGCTCTTCAACACCTATAAGCTTTTGCACATACAGCGATAGCGTGCGTCACGATGCAGCTGCTGTCTGGGGACATATAATTCCTATACTGAGGTATATCGAGAAAACGGCGCCAGAAACTGAATCACTCCACTTCATGACCGACTCCACGTGTAGTCAATACCGGAATAAGACTATAAATTATATCATCACGAAATTGCACTGGTACTTACCAAAACTAAAAACTGTCACGTGGAATTACTCAGAAGCTGGCCACGGAAAGGGGGCACCAGATGGCGTCGGGGCTACCTTAAAAAGGACGGCTGATCGAATAGTCAGATGTGAGAAAGATATACCTGACATTAAAACATTTTCGGAAGAGATTAAAAAAATCCGTAAAAAACGTAATTCTCGAATATGTATCCGAATATGATATAATCGAAAAAGAATACCTAATGCCTAAACTATTGTTGAAACCGTTCAAAGGCATGATGAATGTGCATCAGATTGTGTGGGACAAAAATAATAAAGACTTAATTGCTCTTCGACGCCAAAGCTGCATAACTGATTTGTGTAAAAATTATGCTATAGCTTGTCCCCACGATAAACACCTCGGGTTTTACAGTCATCCCACAGAAGAGTCGAATCAGACAAACTCTTCTAAAGAACTTGTGATTATTTCCAATGTTGTACTCGTGCCAAGTCGTGAAGAAAGATCTCGCAATAATTTCCAAAACCAGTTTGAAGAGCATTTGCTCCAAAATCAAAAAAGTGATGACGAATATGAAGGAGAGCGGGCATCGTGCCCGTCACTTGAAGTTGCTAAAATTCAAAGATCGGAAGCATTTTTAGCTCGTACGAACGCAGAGTTGCCAAGAGAGTTACAAGACATCAAAACAGCGAAATTTGAAGAACAAACGTTCTGCTTGTCTCAAGATGTTAGCATGATTATAGAAACGTCGGCAGTTACTGATATTAATTCAGATTTAGATATTACCCTAGAGCCATCCGAAATTGTGATGTTTGAGACGTCAACCCCATTTGAGGCTGCTCCAATTTATGCCGAAACTTTAATCGCTTTGCCGGGTGCTTCTACAGCAGATAATGAAGCTATCTCCGATCCAATGAATGTGTCATGCGTTGACCCGTTAGGTAGTGAATTTGACGAAGCATCTTCCAATATAACAGGATTAGAAAAGGCAAAGCTAAGGGATATATGAGAATATACAAATAGGCTCGTGGGTTGTTACGTCGTACCAATTTCAGTTAAAGAAGAATACTGCCATAAAGTATTTTATTGGACAAGTGATAAATATTAATCATGATGACAACACTTTTACAGTAAAATATCTCAGAAGGATAAAAAACACCGTAAATGTTTTTTCTTGGCCGAACAAAGATGATGAAGACTGTGTCACTAAAAATGTTATTGTTAAAGTATTACAAGAACCCAATATAAATCGCAGAGGCCAGCTTATATTTGATGATATCGAAAATTTACTACCTGAGTAAAAATATTAAAATACGTAAATGTTTGCTAAACTAGATTATTTTTTTTGACATTTCGAGTTTGTAGTTACAATAATGTCTACTTAAAGTTTTTGATAATTTCACATATATTTTTTAGTTTTTATTTTTAATCAAGCTATTATATTATAAATTATAATCTAGTACACTATTGTTCTCTGAAAAGTTAATTGATCTCAATAACTAACCTATGAAAAATTATTAATATATCATTTGTTTTTATTTGCTAGGTGCAAATAAGGTCTAGGACCAATTACACTAAAAGAATAGTTGATCTCAGTAAACATATAAAAGTTGAATAGAAGTTTAAGTTTTATTTTCCATTTTTGTACGTATGTGATAAAAGGTAATAAATGTATCTAGTTTAAGTTATAATTATTACAGAACTGAGAAAGTTATTTTGTGAGATTATATCTTTACCAAAGAAATTTTTAATAAACATTTATTTCATTAACAATCTGTTTTATTTGATATTTTTAGTATATGTTTCAAGGGAAAAAGAACAGTACGAAGTATCATTTATTACTGCCGTGTTCAAACGTCATTACCGTGTGCACGAAGTGTCATTACCGTGAACAATCGTCACTACCGTACACACATAATGTCATCACCGTGACTCCTAAAATTTTAGGGGCCCATATCTCTACTAATTGAGGCCCTAGGAGAGGGCCTTCATTTTTTTAATAATTCACACATTAGAAACTTTCAATTGAAACTAATTTTGCGGTTTAAAATACATTTTTATTTTATTTTTCCCAATCTGTCCAATTTACGTCAAATGAAATAATTACCCATTGATGATGTTCTCATTTTATTTGTAGTGTATATTTAAAAATGTTATACAACTTATTGTGGTGGCAAGCTTTCACTATATATTAGATACCTGTGAAAACTTTATTGGTTTTAGGATTACTTTTATGTTTTATGATGTAATTATTTATTATACTGTATTTTCCCCTAAAAAACAAATAAAAACAAAAAAATCACAAAACATTTTATGACATGGTATTATATATACCATGTTTTCCTTGTGGTGCCGGATTGTTGGCTTTAAAATGCAAGTAACGTAGGTTTTCTTGGTATTTTGTATTATCATCGTCAAACGACATACAATGTGGGAACAAATTACTTTGTTTACCTAGTTTATAAATACGGTAATATAACAAATATTGCAAAATTTATTATGATTATGATTCATCTTTATTTTGATGTATAACTATTAATTAGTACCTAGCCAACCAAGCTATAGAGCTGTGGTAGCTCAGATGGTTAACGCTCGTTCTAAATATATCAGAACGCGAGTAACCCGGGTTCGATCTCCGCCGGCACTAATAAAATTGTTAATTGCAATTTTAAGAGCTGATTTACCACGTGCTCGGCGGTGGAGGAAACCTGCATGTCGGAGGAATAAGAAAAAAGATATTTCGAAGACATGTGAAGTTCGCCAATACGCATTGGGGCTGCGCGGCGGACACGCCGCCTTCGTTGCCCTAATAAAACGCTCTCAGAAATGAGGGGAGGCCTGTGCCCAGTAGTGAGACGTATATAGGCTGTAAATTTACTACCAAGCTATGCGCGGTATTAGAAAAAAAATATTTTCAGGGATGACTTCTATCTAGATAAACTTGGGAAGTTAAACATCTAAATACGAAATTTCATCCAAATGTTTTTATCCTTTTCTAAAAAACCAATTACATATACATATATATAAATATAACAAGCATTGCCCACATCTAGTATAGGATAGTAAACAAATCATCATCATTCGTTCGAATTATTTAAATGATTAAAAAATTATAGTACGCTCAAATTTAAGTAATACAAATAATATTTTATAGTCTTAATCTCATAATTTTTCTACTAAGAATCATGTCCTTACCCTTCTTTAGTTGCCATATTGTTCAAAATCAGCCAAAATTACATCATCCAATAACGTAACAATAGAATTATTTCATACTCTGTTGAGATTATTATGGAATACACTGTATAAATATTAAGCACCACAGACTTTCAATTTCAATTGTTTGACGTAACGTAAGATACAACAAAGAAATGTCTTATTATTATTGTCCCTGTATAAATAATCTTGTTGTGTTGGACGATACCAGTAGAAAAAAGGGATGTAACAATATTATGGTCGAGGTAGAAAAGGGGCATTTTTGTAACGCTCTCAAATGTTACATCTTTTAAAGCAAACAATGTAAGAATTTATTTCATTTTTATTTTTTTATTTTATTATTCAATTTTTCTTCAGGCGAGTTAGCTCGGGAATAAGCGCGATAAATAACTAACAATTATTTAAACAAAAGTTCTAATTCAGTAAGTAATACTAAATTGATGTTTTTAGAATTACGCATTACTTTGCGGAAATCTATTATATTGAAGTTGTTAGAACTTAATTTGCTTATTTCCGGATAATGGAATAAAATGATTTGTCCTGCCCAGTTTGAAGAGCACCTCCCACCCTCACTCAATTGCGTGCACTATCCCCGTCACCACGAATCCCAGTACCACCACTCCCAGCTACAACATTCCCAGCACCACTGGTGTTATGTTAAATTAAGTTTTAAAAAAAAATGATGTTAATACGGCATATTTTTTTGGACACATTTATGTTTGATGGACAGTTTTTATGGTTGGCGATATTCATCATGTAATTGATCGATTCTATATTGGATGGGCTTACTATGTCAAGCTTGACAGACAGATTAGCAATTGCTGTAGGTATCTGTAACCGGCTTTCCAGTGCATAGCAGAAAAAGTTATGCTAAATTAATGTTTTCGACCGAAGACGAAATGGGGCAGTGGTAGCTCAGGCGATAAGTGCTACTGTATATTTCACAGTATGCGACCCAACAGGATTCGATCTCCGGCAGTAGTGAAATTGTCAATAGCAATTTTAAATGTTGACTTACCACGCACCCGATGGTGGTGAATAATAACGTGACAATGAAACATGTGAAATCCGCCAGCACGTATGGCGGCACCGCGGTAGACTATTCCTAGCCATAAAACCCTCTCAGAAATGAGAAAACCTGTGGCCAGTCGTAAATCGTATATAGGCGATAAATTTAACTTTTAACAATAAACATTTTACAACAAAATCCTAGAAAATACAAAAAATATGATCTGCTCAAAGTTCAAAAACTTTATTAAACTAGGACGGTATAAAAATAGTTATTATAATATTAAAGAATTTATGAATGATAATAAATAACCACTGGGAATGAGGTGATCGTTACCAAGCTATTTATAATTAGTTTTGCGTTGATTAATTGTGTACCATACGTGATTGTAAGCTGTTATTTTTTTTAAAGTCCCGCTGGGTTTCTTGCTGGTTCTTCCCAGGACAGAGGTTTTCTCTACAGTCTTTATGGAATGAAAAAGATTCTGTTCCTGTTTCAACTTTTTAACCTTTCTCTTATTATATTTAAGCGTCTAATCACCATATATAATAACCACTGGTTAATCATTGAACTGTTGCTAATAACTAGTTTATTTAATTGCGTAAAGAATTTAAATTGCCACAAGTAGCAACAACTAGACGAGGTTAATTTCGGAAGTCTTAAAGCTCCCATCGCTGTCTGCATACGTAATGCTTATTCTCCAATACCGGGATTTGCAGCTACATACATGCCTTCAGATGCCTTTGAGATCAGGAGTAGATTATGTCACATCTCAAGATTTACGGTTTTGCCCTATTATTTTATGACTTATATAAATATATCGATATATAGAAGACGAAAAGAAAGGAAAAAAGAGAAATAATATTAAATAAAGGCATGGCCCTATAATCCAAACTATGGTCCCCCATAGATTGTCTACGTGCAGCATTCATATCATAGACAACCTATCGAAGATGACTGCTGCAATGCAATGAAGCAATGCTTTTTATATAACGGATGTATAAAAAGCAGTGCTTAATCTTCTTTGTCAGTTTGTAAAAGTTTAATGCTGGATATTTTCTGCTGGATATTTAGTAAATAATGGGTGCGTTTGGCAGAAAAAAGCGCTAGCAAGTGCTTACAAGCGCTGAAATAGTTTTCGGCCAGGACACGATTGCTACTTCAGTAGCGCTGACACAATCCGCCATTTTGCTTATTTAATTTGTTTGTTTTGAAGTAGAGTTTATGAGTTGTTTTGTGCAATATTAGTTTTAAGTAATATATTGACATGAATAAACATATATATGTTATTAAAAATTCATGATTGGTAAGTTTTTAATATGAATACTTTACAAAAATATATATAAATTAGGTTAGGTTCTCCGTTAAAAGTAACATCGTGTCCCGGAGGAAAATAGCTACTTACGATTTGACAGCGCTTACCGCTTACGATCGCCATTTTGCTTACAAGCGCTTGCTAGCGCTTTTTTCTGCCAAACGCACCCAATGATTATTTCATATAAACAGACATGTAAAATAACATAAACAGAACATAACAGAATCACTCACGCCTGTCACCCAGAGGGGTTGGCAGTGACTACTGACTTCAATTTGGCACGATCCTGACACACCTCTCTGGCCTCCTTCCTACACATCCACTCTTAATTTGTCGTATTTTCAATATATCGCCAATTTAATCAATAAATTTTGGCCTTTCTATTTCGAACTCTGCCGTTCACTTCTGCAATATAATTTAGTAGTTTGCAAGCTGATGTTGTGACCAGGATTAAGAAAGGAATGCTTCTTTG